AGACTGGTGCAACCACTGTGGAAATCAGTATGCAGATACCTCAAAGAACTAGGACTGGAAGTCCCATTTGACCCTACTATTCCACTGCTGGGGATCTTCCCCAAAGAATTAATAAAATCATACTACAGTGATATATGTGCACCCATGTTCATAGCAGCACAATTCATGATAGCTAAAACTTGTAAGCAACCCAATTGCCCATCAACTGGAGACTGAATAAAGAAAATGTGTTTTTTAATAAAATGCAGTATTACTCAGCCATAAAGAATGAGAAACTAGAGACATTTATAGCTAAATGGATGTATATTGAGGCCATACTCTTAAGTGAAATAAATAGAACACACATGTGTAAATACCAAATAGTTTCTCTAGTGTTAGAAACTGAAAGTGTAAATAAGGGCTAAAAGGTATAATAGATAATGTGAAATAGGAAGCAAAAGGGCAAAGGGGAGGGGGAAGTGGGAGGGGTAGGGAAAGGAAAGAAGGGAATGGAATTAATATGAGAAAATGAAAAAAAGGAAATAAAGTCTTTGTATATAGGGAGGGATGAAGGGGTTGAAGGGAGGGCAGGGGAAGGGAGAAAAATAAGAACCAAGAGAGTATGTAAAGGTGCATATTTCCAATGATGAATGTCAGTATATTGTACCTAAAATGTACCAATAATATACAAAAATAACAGAAAAAAAGACCCTCCTACATAGTTGTTTGGAATGTAAACTTGTACAACCATTTTGGAAATCAGTATAAAGATTTCTCAAAGAAAACATTAGAAACTGCATATGACCTAGCTATACCTCAGCAAGGTAAGTTTCGCAAAGAGATATAGACATCATACCACAAGAAACAAATGTCTCAGCAGCACAATTCATAATAGCTAAAGCCTAGAAGCAGCCTGTATACCCATAAGCAGAGGAGTGGGTAAAGAAAATGTGGTTTCTGTGCATAATGGAATCATACTCACCTCTAAAGAAGAAGAAATGAGACAGTATTAGGAAATAGAGTCACCTGAAAAAATGTAATGTTGAGTGAAGTAAATCACACACACAAGTTTAAATAGCATAAAGCAGTGACCGAAAACCTTTTAGGAATTTCAGTGCTTACAAACTACCTGCCCTGGCACACATGCCATAGGTTCATAACCACTGCCTTAGAACATCTCTCACTTTGGGAAGGCAAAGTACAAAGGGCATAATGAAGGATGGATAGAAGGAGACCATGAAATAGATTCCCTGCCACTAGGAAATTGTGCTATAGACAGAGGATGAGAGGAGAGTACCAAAGCCAGGGAAAGAAGCAGAACAAAGTCATATCTCCTACAGGAGCTTAATTACCTCAGTGAATATAATCATTGTATGCCTTAAGTATGAGATGCGATTAATAATACCAGCAATGATGAAAATGGGGACAGGGATTGAGAATAGGAAGGAGGAGGGAAGGAAGGGAATTGAAAAATACATAAGCTGTAGTATGTACATGATGACTCTCCATGATGACTATAAAGTGCATGTAGTGTGAACGTGTATGAATAAAGATAAAATTTAAAATGGTAATATTTTTATGCATTGATCTTGAGTTAGGGATTTGGTTTTTTGCATTCAGTGTAACTACTGGCACCACATGAAATGGAGAAATAAGTGGTTGTGGGTTCAGCACATGTGACTATTATGCCCTCAAGCATGGGCCACACAGAAAGTGGTGGGTGGATGCAATAAACCTAGGTGTATGAGGCTGTAACTCCTTGTCTTGTACTCTGAATCACTTAATACACAGATGTTCTTTGGTGGGCCTGGGCCATCTCAGACTGGTTCAATGAACACCTAGCAATCAACCTCTAGTGCAATTCGTAGGCCACATCCCAAATGGCTTATTGAGACAGGCTGAGGAGCAAATCTGCCAGGAGGAAGTAGCTCCTTGGATATTGCTGTCAGTGGACTTGGTTAAGTCATGGTGCCTCTAGGTGGAGAGAATGATACTCAGATATAATTTGTGTGTTTTACCTGGACACCAGACCTCAGATCCAGAGCCCAGGAGGCAAATAGTAAAAAATTCCACCTGGGTTCCCTGGAAGACTTTGCTGAAAACTGTCAGGGGCATAAGAGTGTTTACCTGAATCAATAACAATAACATGCACATAAATATATGATATTGTGTGTGTGTGTGTGTGTGTGTGTGTGTGTGTGGCTGACACAGGGAGGTTCTTTACTCAGGCTAGTCTTTGCAGGCACTCTCTAAGATGTTCCTGTTGATCATTGTGTTCTTTCTTCTGCAGGATCCTCTCCTAATGTGTAATGTTGACACTGAACCCTGCCTACATAGAAGGAGCACCAGTGTGTACAAGGATGGAGATGTGGTGATTGGACGACTTTTCTCCCTTTTTCTTTATTTCTACTACACAGATGTCTTTCAACTAGAGCCTGTGAAAGACTTCTTTATGATCCAGTAAGTGCCTTTTTCTTGTACTTATTTTCTTTTTTTTATCAGGAAGGATAATGCCTAAGCCTTTCTGGGTGATTACATCCACCTTCACTATATTGCAGCTCTGCCCTTCCAACCCATAGATAAAAAGTGCAGCCATAAATTATTTTGAAGTTCCCTGTAACCTTTCTCACATTTTGAACCTAGGAAGATAAATTCTTATTGTTTTAGTCTCCTTTTAGGAGGGGAAGCTGATGGATTCATCCTCTACCTTATTATACTATCCATACCCCTCTTCTCACCTGAGCTGCCACTGCACAGTACATTGACTGATGTTCTTTAGTATCAGAGTCCAAGACATTGTGTTGCATTCATTGCCAAGCAGCTTCCTCAAAATATGCCCCAGATACAATGCTTGGCCTTCTAATTTTCTTTAATGATGTGTAAAGTGTCATATCCCTACAGGGTTTCTACTACTACTCATAAGCCTCCTGCTAGGGGAGACTTGAGCTGTCAATGCTCAGTTACTTTCCAATAATGTGCATGTCTTGACTTTATGCACTGTCCTTCATGCCTCCTGGACCTGCAAGCCGGGGTATGAATAAGGAAGAATTCGTCTGTGAGATCTTCACCTCCAGACTGATTCTTCACATGGACACATGGACACACTCTGTTCTCACATACTATCACATCAGTTCTGTAGCCAAATGTATAATTAATCCATGGATTTTGCACAGTGTCAGAGGACTCTAGCAGATTACTTGTGACCCTGTATGAAATGAGGTGACCTACACAATAAATGATTGGGTTGGATTGGATGCTGAAGCCACAAGTGCTCCTGTAATTGGGGGCAAGGATGACAGGATAAGAAATATTGGCTTCTTCCTTCCATAGAGGGTTTCTCCATCATTCTCATGTTTGTTATCATGTCCAGATGCCTGCTTATACTTTTGTTCCTGGACACTGTTCCCTGTGATGTCATGGTTTTTGAGACCAGGTCTTTTTATATTACCTAGGTTACCAGTGATATCCTGAGTTTAAAGCATTCTCTGGACCCAGGATTCCAGAACAGTTGCAGTACAGGCATGTGATATTGTGTATTTACTGTTGACCTTGTTGATGTGTTTATTTATGAGTTTTAATTATGGTAGCTGCTGTGGAGTGTTTTTTGTCAGAGAATGACAGAATGCCAGGAATATGTGGTGGGAATAGCAGGAGAATCTATGGTCACGTCCTTGAAACCTTTTAAAAATAAACATTACATTTATTGAGAATGGTAAGGAGGATTTTATTTAATCAGGGCACAACCCTGGATGTAAAGACCATCAAAATGGTATTTTGAACTGGTGATGTGGATCTGCAGTATGTTCTGGATGCTGCATGGGATGAAGGAATTTTATAGCCAAAGAGGAAAATAAAGGTCCCTGGGTGTACATGACTCAGAGACAACACTAGTGCATTGAAGCATGTCAGAAACCAACGTATGAACTACAGCTTTGGGCAGCCTAGTGTGAGCATGCATTACCTGAAGTTAGTGGATGATGAGGAACTGATCAGATACCAAGTGTCATCAGATTTCAAGAATAGTTCAGGGATTCTAGACAGAGAGAGTGTTCCTATCTCAGGGGGAAGAGAAGAAGCTACCTTCTCTCTCTATTGTCCTCTGTTCTCCACTAACACCAGGTCAGGGAATCACACTACTATTCAGTTGGCCCCATTTCAAACACACTAAACCTGATCTATGACTGGAAGAAAATACTTGCAATTCCAACAGCTTTTTATTTGCAGGCTGACTTCCTCATTGGGAATAAGTATTAAGAGATAATCTGAGAAAAGTTTTATTTCTAAATCAAAAGGCAAAGAAAAGTAAATTTTGAAAGAAAATTATGTATATATTTTGTTTGTATATCAACAGTGTTTTGCAAAAAATAATTTTAATATTTATGAGAGAAGAGGGGAAAGGGGAGGGGGAAGTGGGAGGGGTAGGGGAAAGGAAAGGAGGGAATGGAATTTATATGAGAAAATGAAAAAATGGAAACACGGTCTTTGTAAATAGGGAGGGATGGAGGGGTTGAAGGTAGGGTAGGGGAAGGGGGAAAAATAAGAACCAAGAGAGTATGTAAAGGTGCATATCTCCAATGATGAATGTCATTATATTGTACACTTAAAATGTACCAATAAAAGGATATACCAAAAAAATATTTAGGAGAGAAGGTGGCCCAAGTATTCAGAAATGTTGTCATGGCTCTAATAATTAAAATAGTCACAGTAATATCTTATTCCTTTCTGCACTCACATATAGGTACTACATTCGAAATAGGATGTACTGTTTCCATGCTGCTGCAAACTATTTTGCTTACACAAAAATATGACATGTATGTTGACATATGCATCAATAGGTTCATGAAAACTCTTCTGCCTCCAACATATATCTTGTAAGACCAGCCAAATTCACCTCTTATCACAGTTTGTAACTTTCTAAATTTTTAATTGGTTTCTTATCTCATGCCTATCTAATAAATGTTAATAGTTGTTTGATAGATATTAGATTATAGTATACAAATACACATATATATACACACACATCTATATACAGATACATGGTCTTTCATTAAAGCAAGTGAATTCTGAGAATGAAATTGGCTCAGCTCAAAGCTCTCTATATTTTAAAATATTTTTATGTTTAATATCAAACAAACATCTAGGAACATAATAAAGGATACTTTAGCCAGTCATGCAGGGGAATATTATTTCTTTAATCCTTACCTGAAGGAAGTGCCCTAAATTGATGTTTGCATTAAATAATGTGATGTTGCTATTAATTTTTAATAGGTGGATTGACTATATTTCATGTATTACCTTAAAAGTATTTTGTTAGATGATGTCTTTATGATTTATACACCTTGCTATAAGCCTTTCCACTATTCCAAAAATATCTTGTATGTTTAATAAAGGATAAGTTGGTTAAACATGTACTAATTTTAAAAATGATTAATTGGGATCATTGTGAATAGTTTGCATAAATCATTTTAAAACTGAAATAAACAGGCAACTTTAGGTAGCAGAAAATTTACTTATCTTTTGCCTTTTTTGTTCCTGTTTACCATGCATTTCAATGAATAATTGTATGAATAAATCTATATTAATTCAATAATTATTTAGTGCCACTTCCCTTTATTTAGCAATAAATACAGATCTATTTCTCACAATTCTTTCTACATAAATAAAATAATTTAATATTGATCTTTGATTTGTAATATGAACTCTGTGACATAAGCAGTGTATGTATACATATGTATGTAAATTAATAAAAAACTACACATAGCTCATTTCTCTTTTTTTCCTATTTTGATGCATTACTGCATCTCCATTTTTCCATGTCATTCTGTTTGTATAAATCATTATAGTGAATTTTTTTTTCTGTTATATTTCATTATTGTCCAGAATTACTTCTAAAGATACTAATTTAAAGATGCTACTTTTACAGTCTTTGCATTGGCCATAAAAAATTCTTTTCTTTCTTTTTACAATTAGAGTAATGGCTACCTCCACAGAACTTTTGGGTGAGTGTTAATGTGTGAATTATTCTCTTTGCTGCTTTTTTTGCCTTACTAGAACATTATGTTTTTGTTAAATATTCTATCATAAATTTTTTAATTAATTTTACTGGTACATTTTGTATATGCATAATGATAACATTTATTATAGGGAATTTAAATCTGTACATGATATATTGTGATTCTTCTATCTCCATTCCCATCCCCTCTGTTCAATGCCTCTTCACTTCCTTATTTATAAAACTTTGTTTCCATTTTTTCCTCCTAATATTTTTTCCTTTTTTCTTCCTTTCTTCCCCATCCCCAGACTAGCTCCCCTTCCCATTTGCATATTTTATTCCTATTTTACAACAGTATCATAAAAAATTTGTTAACTGTTGCTATGCTACATATATTTTAAACAAAATCCTTTAAATTAGAAATTTTATGTTGGAAATTTTGACAATTCTCATGTATTTATATTTTGGTTGGCTCACACACTTCTTTTAAAAAATTGACTTCATTGGTACATTTTAGGTATACATTATGATAACATTCATCATTAGGAATCTGTGCCTGTACATGATATGTCTTAGTTCTTATTTTTTTCCCATTCCTCTTCCCTCCCTTCGACCCCTCCACCCCTCCATATTTACAAAAGCTTTGCTTCTGATTTTCCGTCCTTTCTCAAATGTTTTCTTTCCCTTCCTTCCTTTTCCCCACACCCTCTATTTCCCCTTCCTCTTTGAAACTTTGCTTCCTATTTTACATTATTATACATTTTGATCCTCATTTACACTTTGTTTCTCATACCAGAGAGACAATTTTGTATTTACACCTGTATGTCCTATTTATTTCACTTAAGAGCATGGCCTTGATATGCATCCATTTAGCTATAAATGTCTCTAGTTTCTCATTCTTTATGGCTGAGTAGTACTCCATTTTATTAAAAAAACCACATCTTCTTTATCAAGTCACCAGTGGACAGACATTTAGTTTGCTTCCAAGATTTAGCTATTACAAACTGTGCCACTATAAAAATGAGTGCACATATATCACTGTGGTATGATGTTTTTTAATTCTTTGGGGAAGATACCCAGCACAGAAATAGCTGGGTCAAATGGGCACACTTTTTAAAAAATTATTTTATTGGTACATTTTAGGTATACAATACATTTACATTTATCATTGGGTGCTTGTACCTGTACATGATGTATCTTAGTTCTTATTTTTTCCCATTCCCTGTGTGCCCCTCACCCCCTCCATCCTTCCCTATTTACATAGATTTCATTTCCATTTTTTTCTTTTCTCATAACTTTTCCTTTCCATTCTTCCCTTTCCCCTTCCCCTCCTACCACCCCTACATCTTTGGACCTTTTCCTATTTCAAATTATCAATTATTCATTTTAATGATTTTCATCCTTATTTACACTTTCAGTTTCTCACACTAGAGAAATTATTCTGTATTTGTACGTGTGTCCTATTTATTTAACTAAAGAATATGGCCTCAATATGCATCCATTTAGCTATAAATGTCTCTAGTTTCTCATTCTTTATGGCTGAGTAGTACTACATTTTATTTTAAAAACACATCTTTATCCAGTTTCCAGTTGATGGGGACTTGGGCTGTTTCCATGGGCACACTTTTTGATGGGAGTCTTGGTTTATCAAATTTTTCATGGACTTGTAAGATGAACAATTTTCCCATTTATGAAATACTAATGTGTGCTTCTTTAGCCAATTCTTTTTTTCTTGCTGTTTTAATAAATATTAATTTTATGGCCTAGTAACTCCTGAATGATAATAAGTAGTTCTGATGATAACACAAAAATATTGACCTGGTCTGTATTTTATTTAAATTGCTCTTGATACACAGCTTTTTAGGAATATTTATCCAAAAAATATGCTAACACAAAAAAGAAAGAACATCCAAAGGCCAAGTGTTAAATATTTCAGTGCCAGCTAAGGAGACACTCAGGGCAGCCGTATATTTAGTCCAAAGGTCTACATGACCAAACCTCTCACAAAGGGCCACACCCACCACCCCAACCACGACCATCACAGCAACAAAACCCTCTGGATACACAGTTGGGGAAGCTTTCCAGGTGGACAGTGTTCCAGGCATAACAGCACACACTGCTGCTGGAAGAAGTTAGTCTTTTCCATGACCACTGGAGAATACAAATGGAAGCTTGTGCTTTGAGTTCCCTTGGGCCCATCCATGTAGCTCTTAATCTGTCTTAATTTTCTGTAGCCAGAAAAAAATAATATAATAATATATGCTTGAATGTAATACAAAAGAAGCTTCACCCCTACAATACACAAAGGAGATCATACCCCATCAATAGGAAGGCTTATACTAGTTTTCTTAACACAGGATCTGCACGAAGTGGTTGCAGTAGATTTCTGTGCAATGCTTCCATGGAAAGGGATGAACTTGTATGCCTGCCCTCCAACCACTCGCACTGTGACTCAGTGAGATTTACTTTAAGTAAAGTTAGTTTTGAATTAGAAGGATTTCTGTTTTGTTTCATCTTTAGTTATAAAATACTAATTGTATGATTTTTCTAGGATACAATGCTATGTGTGGATATATATTTACATTATCATGATCAAATCAAGCAGGATAAAATATTCAATACTTGTTATCCTGTGCCACATAGATGGATGTGGACAGAGATTTTGTTTTAGTTACATTCAAATGATAATATTAACAATAAATATTTCTCAGCTTCCTGATAGTATCAAATGCTTTCTATATTTGAATAAGCATGTTATTTTGCCCTTGTGGAAATGTGAGGATATTTTTAAAATCTTAATTTTTTGTAATGACTCATTTAGGCTAATTCTTTGCTCAAAATTTTTTTTAGTATTTACAGCAAGATCATGTGAATTTTATAGAAAACACACTTTAATTGTGTTTTGTACCTTCAGTTTTTATTAAGCAATTACAAGAGGAGTACACTCTTTTTTTCAGAAATGGTAATTGAAACACAGTCATTCATGCTGAGCTAGATCTCTAGCCTGTTTGAATTTTTTTTTTTAATTTTGAGACATATGCTTGCTGCATGTTAAACTGTCCCAGGTGTGGTTGAATTTGCAATCATCCTGCTTCAACCCACCCGATCCAGAGCTAGGAATACAGCTGTGTACCATCATGTCCAATTTTTATTCTAACATTTTAAGATTTGTAAAATCCATTCAGACTCAGTATATATTGGACATTCTGTTTCAACTCTGTTGAAGCCCAATAGCAACATTGTATAATTTCAGCTTCATTTTTTTTTTAACTTCAGTCACTGAGTAATATTTTTAATTTTATTTTTAAGGCAAAAACAAAAGGTTTTATTTTTTCAGTTTTAATTTTGTTAGTACATGTTTGCATACACAATGCTTACATCCACTGTGGGGAATTGGTACACACACATAACACATCTCAATTCTTTCCTTTCTATCCCAACCTTTTATATTTTGCTAGCTTCAGATTTACTTATCTTCTAAGTCCATATAAAGTTAATTATCATATATACCAATTAACAGTTAGACTAATAGGACAAAAACAGTTACACTCAATCAAGACAATATGTACTTTTAGATATATTGTCTATGCTGGATTGCAATAGCTTTACTCTCTCTCTCCTATTATCTGTTTTTATTTCAAACTTTATATATATATATATAGAGAGAGAGAGAGTTTTTTACTTAAGGAAAACCACGTGATTTTTAAGCCCAAGTGTCTGATTTACTTCACTTAATATCATGATCTCAAGTTGCATCCATTTTCCAGCAAATGACTCAAGTTTATCCTTCTTCACAACAGAGTAGTACTCCATCGTGTATAAGTACCACATTTTTCTCTTCATTCATTTCTTGATGGACATATATAATGTTTCCAAGATTTAGCAAGTATGAATTATGTGACTATAAACACGGGTATAAGATGCCTTTAACTCTTTGGGAAAGATATTGAATGTATGAATGCAATTTCTACTCATACTGATTTCCATAGTGGTTGTATCAATTTACACTCCCATTATTTACACTGACAATGAATAAGGGTTCCTTTTCCACACAGGCTTGCCAGAATGTGTTATTATTTGCTTTCTTGATGGTAGCCATATATTTCCGGGGCATGATGGAATCTCAGTGTTGTTTTAATTTGCATTTCTCAAGTGGGCTGTGATGTTGAACATTTCTATTTATTGGCTGTTTCTATTTTTTCATCTGAGAAGTGTCTATTCATTTCAGATGCCCATTTTTTCTTTTTCTTTCTTTCTTTCTTTCTTTCTTTCTTTCTTTCTTTCTTTCTTTCTTTCTTTCTTTCTTTCTTTCTTTATTTTGTGGTACCAGGGATCAAACTCAGGTCCTCACACTTGCGAGGCAGACGGTGGAACGACTGAGCTGAATCCCCGGCCCTTTTTTTCTTTTTAAATACAAATTTATTATTGAAGATAGTATAGGTAAATTAAGTGGTTCATTTCCATCCTCAAGAAAACATTAACAGCTTCTATCTCATTTAATTTTGTCAAATTCAAACATAACTTTTTGACCTTTTGAAATGTTATTTTCCTTGAATTTTTTCTTCCTGGAAAGTTTCTTGTAAACCTTCAAGTAGTTGGAAACATTTGCCTATTTGCTCAGCTCTCTGAGAATAGCCTTGCCGAGCATTTATTCCACCTGTGCTGAACCATTCTTCTCTCAAGCTGGTAGCAGGGCCACTTGACAGAAGCAATCAAAATGAGACAAGGAGTGAGCAAGCCTTGTAAAGTAGTTCTCATTCTCTTAATTAGTGTGCTACGATCCACCCCGGCTTCTGCAAGATCAGACATGCAAGACATATACTTGGCCAAAGCAGCAGGATTCTACCTATTTCAAAAATAGATTTAAAATAAAATAGAATCACTATAGGAAAGATAATTAGGTTATGCTTTACATTCCCACCCTTGCTTTACAAAATCTGTATATTTAAGTCCATGGAGTGTTGGTCTGCCACAAGTAAAAATTAAGAATGTTTAATTACATTCATTTTTTAAAGCTACAGGTGAGGATTTCTGAGAAATTCTTCAGCACAATCGTAAATTTGGGAGTTTATTTTTGAAGTTCTTTACATATTCTCTATATTAGTCCTTTGAAAGGTAGATGGCAAAAAATTTCCCTTTCTGTAGGATGTCTCTTCATTCTGTTGGTGGTTTACTTTGCTGTGCAGAGCATTTTAATTTGATGTGATCCCATTTGTTGCTTCTTGGTAATATTCTTTTGCAACTGGGGTTTTGCTCATAAAGTCTTTAACCACACCTATCTTTTAGCATTTTACCTATTTTGTCTATCAGGAGATTTTTCCTCTTCTAATGTTAGGATCTTTGATACATTTTCATTATAGTTTAGTACGTGGTGAGAGATATGGGTGTAGGTTCAACTGTTATCATGTATATAGTCATATTTCCCAGCATCATTTATTAAATAAGCTATCCTTCATCCTGTGAAGGGGTTTACTCCCTTCACATAACATAGATATAACATAACAGATAACATAGTTATGTGTTCCTGGAATTGTTTCTGCAAATTTTATTTTGTTCCATTACTCTACAAGTCTGGTTATGTCAATATCATGCCATATTTCTTACTGTAATTTGTAGTATATCTTATGTTTGGGATTGTGATGGCTCCTGCCTTGACTTTGTTGCTCAGAATGGCAGATGCATAATTTTTATGAAGCAGAGGTTTAGGCAACTCATTTTCGGCCTTTTGTTGCACCATAGTCATCCATAGATGTGTTTCTTGATGTGTCGCAGATGTTTCATTTAACATTATTTTCTCTCTTTGTTAGTATTTCCACTTTCATCTGTATCACTTCATCTGTATCACTTTCATCTGTATCACTTCATCTGTATCACTTTCATCTGTATCACTGTTATACTATGAAGTGTTTAGTTATGTTTTGTTTAAATATAAAATTGAAGACTGCTTGGTAACCATTTATTACAATGACTGAATTCATTGCCTGGTTGTTTAACATTAGGTAAGATATTGCCTGACCTCTGCCTGTGTGTAAAAATGTACCACCAACTGAGTGTTTAAAACAATAATCCTGTATATTTAACAGTTGTGGCTCAAAAAATAAAAATCATCTGCCTTTTAGTTTATGAGTAACCATCTGGCCAATATGTACTCACATAGCAGGACAATGAAATGATTATCCTGAAATCTTGTGAGGCACTGATTTTATTCATGAGAAATCCACCTTAAGTTCTCATCTAATCCTAATTATATTGAAAAGACAAAACCACTAAGAATGTCCCATTTATGCCTCAGTTCTTATAACATGAATATGGGGGAGGAACATGAGCATTCAGTTCATAAATGCTATTGTACTGGATTGCAATATAAAAATAGATTAAGTCTTTACTGTAAAAGCCTCTTTGCTCTCTATGCAGTCATATGCCCAACAGCTACCAGAATGTTCTAGCCTTCATATTTGCCATACAAAAGACCAACAAGAATCCTCGTCTTTTACCCAACATATCTCTGGGATATGAGTTCCATAATTTCATTTTTAGTCACTGGAGGATGTTGGAGAGTTCTCTCATTTTCCTCACTGGACAGAATGAGATCCCTAATTACTCCTGTAGGAGAGACAGCAAGCCTGTAGCAGTGCTAACAGGAACATCATGGGCAACTTCTGCTCAAATTGAAACCCTTCTGGAGCTCTACAAATTTCCACAGGTGAGGATGAGTGAAGTGGGGAAAGATGAAACCATGTCTTTGTTGCTGACATTATTGGGTGCCTAATCAGGGTGGAAGAAGTAGCTCAGTTAAAATACATCTTCACAAGTATGTAATTTCAATGTGTAAGTACACAGAGACTTAATTGTTTGCTCACAATTTCCTTGTCTATAGCAAAAAATAGAGAAAGATGAAAACAAAAATGTTTCCTACAAATTTGTTTGATTAGTTGTATTCTGAAAAGCTTTTGAAAAGTGAGATAATTAGAAAGACTGGATGAATAGGTATCTTCCTCTAGCCCTTCCAGTTGTTACTTAATATTCTCCAGGCATGAGGTTGTGCTGTGAGTCAATGCTCTTAAATTCCTTCCAATTTTCTTTCCTTTTAGATTACATTTGGCTCTTTTGATCTTATGCTAGGAGACAGTGGACAATTTCCTTCTGTCTACCAGGTAGCCCCTAAGGACACATCTCTGGCCCTTGCTGTGGTGTCCTTGATGGTTCATTTCAGCTGGATCTTGGTGGAACTGGTCATTATGGAAGGTCAGAAGGGTCTTCAATTTCTCTCAGATGTCAGAGGAGAGATGGACAGAAACAAAGTCTGTGTAGCCTTTGAGAAAATGGTCCTGACTCCTCTTGTGTCATATGTAGCATTTGCAAAGGAACACATTATCCTGACCAAGAAAACATCACAAGTCAACGTGGTCATCATTTACTATGACACTGATATTCTAAATGATGTAAACTATAGTATAGGGCAATATTTACTAACAGGCAATGTCTGGGTCACAAACTCACAATGGCATGCTGATATAACTGGGAAAAATTTCATACTTAATTCATTCCATGGAATTCTCATTCTTTCAAACCACCATGAGAACTTTTCTGGTTTCAAAACTTTTGTTGAAGAGGCCAACCCCTCCAAATACCCAGAAGACTTTTACCTCACTGTGTTTTGGTTCAATAATTTCCACTGCTCATTTTCTGATTCTGACTGCTCACTAAAGGAATGTACACCCAGTGCCTCTGTGGCATGGCTGCCTGTGAATTGTTTTGACACAGCCATGACTGACAGGAGTCACAATGTACACAATGTTGTGTATGCTGTGTCCCATGCCCTCCATGAGATGCTTCTTCAACAAGCACAATGGCCACCACTGGGAAAAAAAGAAGTGATGGTGTTTGCCCCCTGGCAGGTAAATCATCTTTTCTGTAGTGGCATGCAATGATATCAAAGTGCCTATTTTAAGTTATTACACATGTTCTTCATCAGAGAATTTTGAAACAGTTTATCCAAAAGAAAAAGTGATAACACACCAGCCCATTTTTCAAGAGGTAAACATTGAGCTGGATAGAAATGGCCACTTAGCAAGAAGGCTCTGACATTGTAAAAATCAATATGAGACAAGTTCTTTACTTTTGTCTAGAGGCTGTCAGTGCCCATATAGATAAATATTTATTATAGAATCTAAATATTCTCTATGAACTTCTTAAAGGGGAACAGACCTTGTAATCCTTGAATTTAAATGGTGCTAAACACTATATTAGATATACTATCTTTAATTTATCACTCCATGGTGCAGTATCTTTGCTAGTGAGAACTTCATTGTGCAAGTACTGCTGTGTGAACATGGAGAAACAAAATTAATAAAACATCCAATACTAATTTTTTCTAACATCCAGGAAAACTTTATTTAAATAAGCTTGGATAATTTTTTTCTCCTGAGATTGATTGCCTTTTTAGGAAACTATGATATTATATCCTCCATAATATTTTATTTATTCTACTTTATTAAATGCCAGTGTAAAACTTGCATTATGAGTTAAAGATTAAAGATTACTGCATTCCCTAATTGATTTTTCTCTTGATCATGAAACCCTGTTTACCAGAGGATGATGTGTCTCTTTTAGCTCCATCCCTATCTGAAGAACATCCAATTTAACAGTCCTGCTGGAGACCAAGTGAATTTGGATGATGGAAGGAAACTGGATGTAGTATATGACATTCTCAATTTTTGGAATTTTTCCAGAAGGCCTTAGACTTAAGGTCAAATTGGGAACATTTACCTCACATGTTCCACGTGGACGACAATTGTCTTTATTTGATGATATGATCGAGTGGGCTACAGGAATAACAGAGGTATGTTAGATATAATCAAAATGCACTTCATTAAAAACAAATACTCAAAATATTGTTGTAGATTTTGTACCCCAAATTTTTCTCAGGAAATGGGAAACTATGGCAAGTGAATATTTCAAATTTCAATTTTATCAATTTTCTCATTTATTAGCCTTCCAATGAATTTGTATGGAATATAGATGTTTAACTATATTTTATAAATATTTACATATTTTATATTGTTAAATACGACATTTACACACACACACATATATTATTTGTACATGTATACAAATTGTTTTTTTCTCAAGCTCTGTAGGAGTGGTAAAATTCTAAAGATTCATCATGTATTTTTTCCTCAGACTCCTCACGCTGTATGCCATGAGAGTTGTCATCCTGGATTTAGGAAATCCCCTCAGGAGGGAAAAGCTACATGTTGCTTTGATTGCAATCCTTGTCCAAAGAATGAGATCACCAATGACAATGGTAAGAGCTTGTTTTAGGGACAAATATTCCACGTTCATTTTGTATTCATCCCATCAATCCAAAAAATTGAAAAAAAACTTGCAGAGCACAGCAATTACAAAATTCTTTCTTCTGTTACATGGAAATTTATTTCTTCTATTTAGTACTATTATCTCTTTAAAGACACATTCTCTGTCCTTTGCACTGTATGTACTCATAGATTCATGTTTTCTTTCCTTTTTTATGTTTTCTTTTCCTTTTGACATTGGTGAGAATTGAATCAAAATGTGCCTTCACCCTGAGCTGAATCTCCATCTCTTTTAATTTTGAAATTTTAAGAAAAATATTGCTAATTTTCACCAGCATGTCTTGAGTTTCAGATTAGCCTGGATCACTGGTACACAAAACTTTTCCAGGCTATTATGATATGTTTTTCCAGACCCGCTGAAAGCATATGTCCTCATGAGAACCCCTTTTTCTCACCCCATAGTCTCTGAGTTCCATCATCACCATGAAGCTTAACACAGAGCATTACTAAACAATAGATATTCACATGATTTGAAATGTCATTTTGATTACATTGCAGATGAAGCTCCAGCATATCCTTATTTCTGAAGATGTAGGACTTATCTAGACAGAAAGCAGGTGCTCCCAGAGATTGTGTTTGGCTTTAGATAGAGATATGTCTCTGTTGTACAGCATGCTTATAGTACAGTATGACATCAGTTACTAGGATGTTATCCCTGCTCTCCTAGAAGTCACACATCCTAAGGGGAAATAACACATATCATGAAACATAGTTTGTGCCACAGAGCTGTAGGATGATATGCATTCAGTCTAAGGGATTTAATGAGTGATGATATCTGTATTTTTCAGAGGAGTAGCATTTGTATTCTAGTTTTTTCACAAAGTGTGTCCCAACATTTACTTGTGTACAGAATATCATTGGATTATACTAGTGCTCTGCTCACCAGTCAGTTAATCCCATGGTGAATCTATAGCTGCACATGCAGTTAGGAGGGAGCCTGATCAGAAGAGCCGGTTCACAGTGGGTGTGACCTGGGAGAGCACATCTCCCTTCCAGGTGTTCTCTCTCTCTCTCTCTCTCTCTCTCTCTCTCTCTCTCTCTCTCTCTCTCCAAGAGATAAACAGCTGTTCTTTGTCCTGCTCTTTCCACCTGCCATTTCTGCCTTTAGCTCACTATGGACTGAAACCTGAGGCAAAATAAAATTCTCCTCCTCTAAGATGTCCATGTTGAGTGTTTTGTGCCAGGAATGAGAAATTGACTCATTCAGTATTATACCAAAAAGAAGTAGGGTGGCATAAATTCTTGTTTGGGATTAGCAGAAGTAGTCAAAATGGCAAATTCCTTTTTGTGTATTATCAAAAAGGCTGAAAATGAAATTCTACAACCTCAATATGAGAGTGAGGATTGAGACATTGTATAGAAAAATTATAGAATTCTAATACTGAAAAATTTTGCATACCATAAGTATGACTTTGGAACCATTTGATTTGATGAAAAAACATGGCCTAGAAGAATCATCTTTCTAATTTGATTTTGTGGCTGACATGTGTTTTGATTTTGTAATCTTAGTATATTTCAAATATGCTTTGAAACATATCTAGACTAATGATGTACCATATAGTTAATTTGGGTATGTACTCTTTATAGGGTTTGAGGATATGGTACTTTTACATAATTTTTATGTGAATATATAAAGAACCATGCATCTAGCAATATCAATTTGTTAATTCTTTTGGGTTATGAATAGGAATTCTCAACAATTTGTTTCTTACACAATAGTTTGAAATGCAAATTAATAAGTATCTCTACTTGAATATATGACTTATCAAATTTTGGGAGCTGAAGCAAAATCTATTTTTAGTGACAAATACATATTTTATAGTATATATACTTATGTGATACTAATTAATCAGTGAAAGCCTGGAGTTCTGCATTTGAAATATTTTTACAAATTAGATAAAAAAGTGCAAATTGAACCAAGAAATATGACAGGAAACAATATAACAGGAATGATCAAGAAATTGAAACACAAATAAAAAGTAAACAAAATCAATGTTGACTCTGCTAAAAAAATGACAATAATCAATAAATTTGATGAAGGTGAGAAAGACAAATTTCAAAAAAAAATAGTGTGACTGAATAGTGTGTCATTTATACAGGTATAGAGGAAATTTTCCTTGTGAAAATATAGTTTAGTATTCCACATCAATCTGTTTCTAATTACTTGAAACTCACAAACTACAGAAAATGTTAGCCAAAGAGTTCTTCAAAAAATAAAATAAATTGACAAAACGCTGTCTGGTAACCAATATGAGTCCATTTATTTTCCTAAAACTTTTATGTGGATTAAGTTTAAAATTTTAAAGATCCCTATCTAACCAGTTATACCATCCACAGTATATCATCCATATTATACACATGAAGGAATTTGTCAGCATTGTGTTGAGATACTGCCTGCCTATGTTATTGTGCACAATGTATAATAGCCAAGATAGGGATTCAGTCTGGCTTGCTATTAGCATGATAATAGATAAATAAATGTAGTATATACACACAATGAAGTAGTCAGTCATAAAGAAAAATGCAATCATGACATTTTCATGAAAATAAGGAGACTAGAGATCCTCAAGTAGTAGAAAATAAGCCAGGCTCTTTAAGAGAAGTATTACATGTACTCCATAATATGTGGAATCAAAACAGATGGCATAAAAGTGAAAGGGAGACTATTTCTAGAGAAGGGGAAGGAAATAAGTAGGAGGGAGTGTAATGGAGGATAAGACAGGGAAAAGAGATATTCTGCACAGGTAGAAAAATACTACATTGAAACCCAGTATTAGATAAAATTAATAGGCACAGGTATCATAGAAACATATGCTATGAGAATTCAAAAGGAAAAAGTGTACTAGAGTATAATGAACAGAGGCAGGAAGGTATCTTAATAGAATGCTGACTAATTTCTTCATGTATGTACTATGGATGGTATAACTGGGTATCAACACATTTAACAGTGTGATAATGCTGATTTATTTAAATACCTTCAGAAAAAGTGAAAAGTGAGAAAATAATCTATGTTGAGGAAAGCTTAAGAAAAAGGGATATTTATACACAATGGAATACTACTCTATAATAAAGGATAAACTTGTCAAGAAATGGATGCACCTTGTGACAATATGTTAAGTGCATTAAATCTGACATTGAAGCATAAATATTGAATAGATTTTCTTCTATGAAAGGCACAATATATAAAAAATAAATTACAAGATAATGAACAGGAAAACAGAGAGAGAAACAAAGTTATTGTAATCCATCAGGGACAATTTATCAGAAAGCATTTGTTAATTTAGAATAATACTCTTATATGTCTTACTTTTTTGCCTATTAGTTTGCTTGTCAATCTGTATATACACTAATTAACTGTGTAAAGACTTACAAGATAAATGAATTGGATACTGGTACACTAAAAGGGGAGTGGCATGGAGGGGAAAATAAATAATATGTGTTCTGTACATGTACCAATTCCTTACAGTGAATGTATTCATTATATACTGCAAATGTGTACAAATTAATATTTTTAAAAAGAAAGAAGATCTACATTATGTTTCTTTTCTTTTTTCCAGATTAAATTTATTGGTACATTTTAGGTATAAAATAAAGTTACATTCATCATTGGGATCTTGTACCATTACATGAGTCTCTTGGTTCTTATTTTTTTCCCCTTACCTTGCCCTCCCTTCACCCCCTCCACCCTTCCCTATTTGCAAAGACCTTGCTCCCATTTTTTTTCCTCTTCTCAT